AAAAACAGTACGGAGATTTCTCAAAGAACTTTTAGACCTACCATTCGATGAAGCAGTCCCACTACTGGGTATCTACCCAAAGGAAAAGATGTTATTTTATCAAAAAGATACCTGCCTCGAATTATTGCAGCACAATCCACAATTGCAAAGATATGGAAACAACCTAAATGTCCATCAGCTGATGAGTGGATAGAGAAAATGTGAGATACACACATACCCCCCCCACACACACACACCATGGAGTAATGCTCACTCATAAAAAGCAATGAAACAATGTTTTTTGCAGCAAGTTGGATGGAACTGGAGACCATTATCCTAAGTGAAGTATCTCAGGAATGGCAAAACAAATACCATATGTTCTCACTTATAAGTGGGAGCTATGCAAGGGGTATATATGGTCATGAAGTGGTATAATGGACATTTAAAACTAAGAAAGGGGGAGGTTGGGAGGGAATGAGAGGTAAAAGCCTACTTATGGGGTACAATGTACACTATTATGGTGATGGGTACACTAAAAACCCTGACTTTAGCATTATACAATTCATCCATGTAACAAAAAATACTTGTAACCCCTAAATCTATTGAAATTTTTAAAAAGAAAGAAAAAAAGTTATTCTATTTTATTAAAGCCTTTATATATTTCACTTAGAGATCTATGTAGAGCACCTAGTGATTCAATTATTCTTACTCCTCATTACAAGGAAAGTGGAATATTTATGAAGTCAAATAAGCATTGGTGTTCTTTCCAGTAAAGTGAGAAATCATGATTCTGTTCTTAAAATATTTGATAAGCAGTATAAATCATGAATTTTAAAAGTAAAGAGGCATTTACAACTTAAATTTTATTCCAGTGGCTATTCCTATGGAAGCTATATTTCAAAGGCTAAGATTCTTAGTGACCTAAATATTCAGTATTAACACTATGTTTCCTTCTATTGATTTACCATGTTTATTACCCTGAAGATGATCAGCTAGCAATAATGCCATTTCCATAGAGTACAGGGACTTAATCATTGTTTAATCTATTCTCCAAATCCAAAAGCCACATTTGCTAATGAAATGATACAATGCTAAATGCCACTGAAATACATATTCCATAGTCACTTGAATAACAACTCCTTTAACACATAAGATCATAATGGAGGGGAGTACTATGATAGAGTCATTAGAGGTTATAAAAGTGAACTGATACGGGTATATAAAATGTTCTTCTGGCTAATTGCCTAGCTATCAGTTTGCAGTTCCCTACAGTGTGGAGCCTCTGAGGGTTAAAACTGCTGAGTAGAAAAATGGGAACAGTTGTTATAACTATGCTGCTGCTTTTTTTGAAATAAGTTTTAGTTAATAAAATTCACTCCTTGTAAACTACCACTATCAAAGCTTCAGAGTTCTAAACATGGTGTCGATAAGATGCAATGGAGAAAAATGACTTATTTTATTGCCACTGTAAAATTGAAGAAGACCTACTGAAGGTAAATAAATAGATATGAATTCATGTGATCCATAAGTTTAAAGTATGCATAAAATACTTACACAATACTGGTTTAGAAACACAAACAATCACATCTATTATCACTTATATTCGGATAAGTTCCATAACTTAAGTATATCTGTGTCTGAGAAAGTGGATCTGTTGGATTATATAAGCTCTTTTTGAAAAGCATATTTAATGTTTATATGTTTTGCTATTATTGGGATCGAAATGAGAGTTTTACCAATTAGGGTATGGAAAATGAAGTTCATCTTAACATCAAGAACAGGTAAGATGGGTAAACTGAAAGGAATATATATGGTTGGGTGAAGGTAAGTTGATATTTGAACTGTTCCACTTTTAGTTATCTTTTATTATTAAATCATGCTGCATACATTCTCCATCCATACTCAGTAGCTTACAAATGCTTCTGTGTGAGAGACATGGCTAAAAATGAGTCCCTTATGCCTGCTTTATAGCCTATATATTCAGCAACTTAATTGATTTATTAACTAATTTAATTTCTTTGGGACATCCTACTAAACTTCTCATTTTTGCAGAAGACTTTAAAAAATTAGTTCCTGTTTTTGGATAAAAGTACTATATTTAATCCTAAAAAAACACAAGGTAATAATTTCAAAACATCTTAATTTTCCAGTAGACAGCAATGTTAACCATTGCTTTAAATGTTACACATGGGGTCATAAAATATTGCAGGAAAGGGATTTTAGAGATAACAGAGCCAAATTTTTATTCTTTTCTTTTGAGACAGAGTCTCACTCTGTTGCCTGGGCTAGAGTGCTGTGATGTCAGCCTAGCTCACAGCAACCTCATACTACTGGGCTCAAGCAATCCTGCCTCAGCCTCCCAAATAGCTGGGACTTACAGGCACGAGCCACCAAGCCTGGCTAATTTTTTCTATATATTTTAATTGGTCAATTAATTTTCTTTCTATTGCTCAGGCTGGTTTTGATCTCCTGACCTTGAGTGATCCTCCCGCCTTGACCTCCCAGATTGCTAGGATTACAGGCGTGAGCCATGATGCCCAGCTAATCTTTTCTTTTTTCAAATATTTACCTATTATTTTAATGGAGAGCTATGCAATTCAACATTAGACTATATGCTTCATGAGGGCAAAGACTAAGTCTGTTTGCTTAATACTATATGTCTAGCATGTTGCACAGTGGCTTATAAACAATTATTGAATGAATAAATGAAGATACTAAATGAGATTCCTTATATGTTGTTGGCACTGGGCTAGGAGCCCAAACATGTAGTGCATGATCCTTGCTCTTAGGGACCTAACTTTCTCCGAGAGAAAAAATTACACAGTTAAGTTGCTGCAATATATGAGAAATTTAGGTGTAACAATTTAAGCATGTCTGGTGATCTATGAAAGCACCAAGCTGTGAGCAGTTTTCTCTGGTTGGTGGGAGCTGGGGGTTGTAGACACTCAGGAAAGACTCTAAAGACAGGTGATATTTGGATTGGGACTTGAGGGCTGAGAAGGAGTTCATCAGGCAGACAAGGTGGGGTGATCTGGACAGAGAGAAGAACATTTGCAAAGATGGGCAACTATTTAAAAAAAGATGGCATATTTGGGTAAAAGGGGTGGAATGGCCTAGAGGCAGGAGCTACAGTTGAGAAATCAAGCCTGGGCTAGGAAGAAAAGGGCGACTTACCCTCTTCATTCATTGGACTTTATTCTCTGGGCAAGCATTCTCTTACAAGGAGTTTGGATTGGAGTTGGAAGAGGCTGGATAATGCAGGAATATCAGTAAGGAAACGTCATACATTCATTCATTAACCAAACATTTTAAAGTATAATGTTTATGATATGCCAGGCAGATTGACTGGGGAATGGGATTTAAAGATGTATACTGCTATCATCTAAGTAAAAGATGCTGGGAATTAGTAAAAGGACATTGGTTGAAAAGAGAAAAAATAAAAGACATATTCTGAGATCACATGAGCAATTGCACATGGAATCACTGAAAATGTAGAAGGGATTTAAAGATGAAACTAAAGTTTCTAGTCTGAGAAAATTTGTTGGATTAAGATTCACTAACTTTTAGTTATTCCTATTTTATAGGAAACACAGAAAACAGGGAGGCAGGTAGAAGAGGATAGCATAGGGAATGGAAGAACAGGAGAATCAATGAGCTTGGTTTTAGAATAGTTACATTTGTGATTCTAATGTCACATGAGTTAGGAGATCAGAGGAGAGATCCAGACTAGAGATTTAGAGTCATCACTATCCATGTTGTCTCAAACACAGAGCATTTAAAAAATAAAAAAGCACCACCTGTACTCACCAGCAAATTGGTATTAACTGATCAACACCTAAGTGGACATATAGGAATAACATTTATTGAGTGTCGGGCAGCTGGGAGGGGGGAGGAGGCGATGGGTATATACAAACATAATGAGTAAGATGTGCACTGTCTGGGGGATGGTCCCACTTGAAGCTCTGACTCGAGGGGGGAGGGGGAACATGGGCAATATATGTAACCTTAACATTTGTACCCCCATAATATGCTGGGAAAATAAGTGCCTATAGAAAAAAAATAAAAAGTGAAAAAAACAAAAAAACAAAAAAGCGAATTGGGCTAAGGTTAAAAACTTGGGCACACCAACATTTGAAGGGTGGGTAGAAGTTAAGAATTTATGGCAAAATAGGAAGAAGAATGTAGACCAAACAGTGCCATGAAAGCTAAGGAAGAAAACTTCAAGAATGAGGGTTTTGGCAAATATGCCAAATGCATATTTGGGAGTTGGATTTCTTTTGAATTTGAATCTAGGACTTTTGTAGTTTTGACGCTAAATGGGTAGTTTCTGATTTCGAAATGGTATTCTGCAATATGCACTTTCTTTTTTTTATAAATATATTTGTCATCTTTGGGCCCCAAGGGAATTTAGCTTTGGTCTCATAGACAGTAGTCTTCCAAATACAGAATGATTTTTCCTCATGACTGCAGTGGGCTAAGGCAACCTGAAACTGTAGTACATACATTGTCTTCCAAGGGAAGTACAGCATTAGCAGTTTGATTTCACACAGTATCATAACTTACCCAAGTTATATAATATAGTAGGCAAAAAAGCTAAAACCTAAAATCCTGGCTTTTGATTAAATACTGTATTTTTCCCTACTCTGATACTAAGTAACACAAAAAATACATACACACACACACACACACACACACACACACACACACACACGGAAATCAGACTACTTTAGTACAAACACTTAAGTTAATTTCCTGATAGCAAAATCAAAATGATTTTTTTGCCCTGTAACTTTTTAATATTTCATTCCATATCATGGAAGACAGATGACTAGATCACTATCTTCTCTCAGAGAGAATACCATGTGAAAGAAGAACTTGAATTTGTGAAAGATGGATTGATCTCTATTGTTGAATGGCCCTATTTTAACTTTGTGGGAAGAAAACATTGCACTCCAATTCAGAGTAGATTCTCTTTTGGGTCTCTCAAAGGGCCCTGAAGCAAAGTAGTAGATGGTAGGTACCTTGACTTTTTCGAGGTGATCTTGGAGAGAGTCAATGAGGAGATCACCCACCGGCTGCCAGGATCCCTTGATCACCTCAGCTTGGCGCAGCTTAAGGTCCAGCTCATCTGTTGCCTCTTGAAGTTCCTGAAGTCTTTCAAGGGCCTCATCTATTTTTCTCTGCCAGTCAGCGGAGTGCAGGTTCAATTTTTCCCACTCAGTATTGACCTCCTCAGCCTGCTTTCGTAGGAGCCGGGTGACATTCTGGGCTCTCTCTTCAGAAGGCAGCTCTAAATTGGCAATATAACAAGGTTTTAGGGCACACTTATTTTTGTTTTTTAAACATGTCAAAAAGCAAAGAAAGAGAGTACAGTTTAACAAGAGGCCAACCTAGTGATTAATGGCTCTTTTATAATTTGGCATAAATTTTGATACAGTCCAGCACATGTAAACTCTGTCTTCCTGAGTGAATCTTTTCTACCTTATATCAATCAGATAATCTATGGTTCATTCAAACTATTGAGGAGAAAAATGTTAGGATGCACACCACAAGCTCTAATTCACTTCAGTCAGGCTCTTACATTGAAAATTAGCTTGTCGTCTTTTTAACAACAGAATTCCTCCTCACAGATAAACTCCTTTGTTTATTATTTTCTAACTGTTCCAATAATAACTGATTGCTAATCTCTTTTAATGTTTATTTATGAATGTGCAAACAGATTTATGCATGATGGTTTATGAGTCCTTATTCTTCTTCAACATCTATGTTTAGTTTGAATTGATTCTATTTAACCTAGAAAATATGAGAGCTTTCCAGACCCTGGCAGCAAGAATGGATGGGCTGCTCTGTCACCACTGATCCTTCTATCAATATGTTATTATAGTTCCACATTCAATTACCTCTGGGCTCCTGGTAGAGTTTCTCTAGTCCTTCCAAAGGCTGCTCTGTCAGAAATATCCGTACAGTCTCAAGAGTACTCATGATTACAGGTTCTTTAGTTTTCAATTCCCTCCTGAAGGCCTGTGAAATGAGATGAAAAGAAATGCTTATTTGGCTTCTGGCATTCTTCTCAAAATTAATCCTGGGTGCTCAGAACTTATTTATGAAACTCCCAGGTCAATTTCTATCTCCTTTATTTATAAACTGATAGTCATAAAATGACTTTTTTTAAAAAAGGCTTTATAAGTCTTTCTGTTAATGAGGAAACCACTGTGTTTGTGGCAATATTTTGGGGAGAAGAGGGGATCTTTCTAGATAGTTAATGCCGTCTCATTAAGATAAGAGTGCTTCGTTTATATAACCTGACTGTCAAACTTGAAATCTAGAGCTAAAGTTGCAAGGTACACATTGTGAAAACTTAGCACGGCTAATGAGGACTTAAACACACCCAAAACTGAATCCAGAAGAAAATGGGAAGCCTTAAGGGCCATTTGAAGGAACTTAGGTTGTATTGAAGTATACAACAAATCCAATTGATAATCACCAGTTAATTCTGTCAAAATTTCTGATAATGAAGAAAATAATGTATTAACAGTATGCTAAGTGAAAACTCTTAGTACTTTTGAAAAATACCCATTATATTATCTATTGTGACCTCTTTGAGAATAGTAGAAATGTTTTGAGTGGATGAAGGAATGGTGAAAACATGTTAAGTTTCTATAAATGAATATACTTAGAATAGGTGTTTTGAGGCCATCTGGGCCAGTTATCAATTTTAATTTTTAATTTGTCATCTTCTTTGATACAGGGGATTAAGAGAAAAACAAAATGCATAGTTTCTGCCTTTAAGAAGTTTCTCAACCAAAAGAAAGGAGAAAACTAGCACACTAGAAAGAGTAAAAACAGTAAGTTCATATATAATCAAATGCTAAGAAGATTGTAGGGCATACTGTGAGGCTAGGATAAACTAACAAATACTCTGAAACCATTGAAGATAGTTATTCACCTAGATTTCCTGATCTCAGAAGTAAAGTTGTTAATAAATGTATTAAGTGCCTATTACATAAATGCTAATATATTTGTGTAACAACAATAGCAATAATAATTGCCCTGATCTAAAGCTTAATTTTTAATATCTTTTTTCAACTCTGTCTTATTCTTAGCAATGTTGTCTACCAAATTTAAGTCTTGTTCTGTCACTGGGAAAAAAAATTAGTAGTATCCTCCTTTAAATTTCAGATATAACACTATGTTACAAAAGTGCTCCAGAACTGTACTATAAGACATATTTATTAGCAAAATCTTAGTGGCGTTCACCATTCCAAAGATTCTGAGTCTGATATTTTGCAAAATGATTCATCATCCATAGTTATTTACAATCCAATAGAGAGACGCAAGATGTTTTAACCAAAATAATGGAGTTCTGTAAGTGAAATATTAGGATTCAGCCTGTGGATGGGGAAGTAATCTCTGTATAGTCAGATATTCTTATACCCTTGAAATCGTACTGGGTAGGTGGGTTAATTACTCTGGTTACATATAAGACTGATTCTCTTTCTAATATTTCACTTGAAATCTCTCTCATTGCGTGTGCACACACATGTATGTATGTATACAGTTCTTGTATTCCTGTATTTTCTTCATATATGTAATTTTCCCAACTTCAAGCAGATTATTTTGCTTCTTCTCTCCATTTGGACTTGACAGTATAGCAACAACCCCTTCTAATTAAGAACTTACATTATAATGAAAGGGTCAAACACATAAATGATTTCAATACAATGCTTTCAATACAAGACTTCCAGGAGAAGATAGTAATCATGTAGAATTCAAAGGCATAAACACGAGATAGTCAAGGAAGAGTAGGTTATAGGGCATTCTGAGAAAAGGAAAATGCAAGTGCAGAGATATAGAACATACTACAGTATGGTGTGTATGGGTATCTCAAGCAGGGCAGTGTTTCTAGAATATTTTAAAGAACAAGGAAAAGAGCTGCCCAGAGATGAAACAGGACACTATTATTATCTGGAAATATATTAGACCTTTAAGCCAGAATCTGGAGCTCAGCATTTCTATGACTGTATGTGGCCTGCTAAGATGCTTAGGTGTTGCCTTTTAGGTAATCAGGAACCTTTGAACAGATTTAAGCAGGGAAGTGGCATAGGCATATGTATGTTTCAAATAGATCTCCCTGAAAAAAATTACAAAGTATGTATTTGAGAAGAGCAGAAATGGAATCAGAGAGACAATGAGGATAAAACTGCAAGAATTCAGTGAAAGATTATGAGGATCTGACCCAGGGCAATGGTACCAGGATAAAAAGACAGGGATAGGATAGGGAAATATTTAGAAAGTAGAGGTGTGAGGATTTAGTGACTGAACAGATGTTGGAGAAAAGAGAGAGGAAGGAGCAAAGATGACTCTGAATGCTGGGTGTAATCAAACTAATTATATAAGGAAATAAACTTTCCTAGATTTCTCAGTGCACCTATAAAAAGCTCTAGTCTCCTGAAAACCTTCCCACATCATAAGAATGAGATCTGTAGCTATCTGTCTAGTTAATTTCTCTGATCCAAGAGGGCCAAATTGTTATAGCCCAGACTACTGGGTTTCTAGGTTAAGCTCCAAGTTGTCAGAAAGGCTGGACTGGCTATCTCTCTAGGTATTTACATTTCACAAATTATGAAGGCCAGACCTACGAGATATTTCTAGCTTTTAAAACCTGAGACACATTGGGCTCTTAAAGAAGTTAGAGTTAGGACTCAGGCTCATTATCTTCCCAAGGAGAACCTTTCAGGAGAAGAGGGGATGGCTGTCTTCTTTTCTTTTACAAGCAGAGAAAAAAATAATTTTTCTTGCTCTTTCGCCTATGGAGTACCTAGCCACTGAAGTAGGAAAACATCAGCATTTATCACATCATCCTAGGGGGAAGTCTTTGGGCAAAAGGAGAGGGGCAGCAACAGTATTTACTGTAAGGTAATTAAAAAAATCTGCTTCTGATCCAGAATACCACAAATGCATTCAGGATCAAATGAATAAAACTTAATATTAAAAACCCAACATGAAGAAGGGAGGGTTCTGTGCATGGGGAACAAAGTAAGGGAGGGTGATAAGCTCAGCTTGGCAAAGTAACATTCCTTCTACAAGAAAGTAATAAAGTCTGATATTTGGAGAGAAGAAAAGGAGATTTAGAGAAAAGGACATTCTCTTAGCCAGCTCATTTACATTGAGTGTCTACATATCCAAGTTTAATGGGGAGACAGAAGAATAGGATCTCATAAGTGAACCAAAAAGAAACATAAGTGGAGAGATTGGGGTAAGTGAGGAGTGTAGACATTTCAAAGAGAGTAAGAGTTTCAAGAAGAAGGCACACAAGCGCAGCTAATCATGATACACAGAGGTAAAGCAAGATGGGCACTGCAGAGTGTTTATTGCACTTGGTGAGAGCAATTTCAGCGGAGGGCAGTGGCTTTCAGAAATAGGTTTGGTTGGAGAGTAAGTGGAAGAAGAAGGATTAGGATTTCAAGTAAAAAGTATTTGTTCAATGTTTTTTGTTGTTGTTGTTGTTTTTGTTTTTAATTTTCTGAGAAGGAAAAGAGGAAGAGAGGCCAGGAGGACAGAGAGGATAACAAGATAAAGGGATGAGATGTTCTTTTTAAGATGAGAATGAATTGAAGATAGACTGAAGAATGGAAGCTAGCAGTAGGGTAATTAACCCCACCATGGTTTTCCCAGCAGTGGGTTTTTCAGGATGTGGGACATGCAATGCTAAAACCAGGACAGTCTCAGGAAAATTGGACAGTTTCAGGGAAAACTGGACAGTTGGTCACCCTAGCAGAGAAAAATATATTAAAGAACTTGACAGGGAAAAGTGGAGATAATTGATGGAACAAGATCTGTAAAATAAAGAAATGGACCTTAAAGATCTCATCAAATTTAAAAAGTCCAAGGCACTATTCGATGATACAATTCCATTGTTTACACTGAACAGTAAATAACTCAAGGCTGAGGACCACCCATTGTGAGAGACCACTTGTTTGCCCCTTGAGTTGTTGCCAACAACTTAGCTCCACCACAGCTGCACACTTCATTTCTTAAATATGAGTCACTGAGGATTAAAATTAGTCTAAAGAAAAGACAAAGGAAGTTCTGTCATTACAAAGACATAAGTACCATTATTTTCACATCATTGACTGAAATTAAGAAAAGAAAGTGGATGGAAGAGAGGGTTACACGAATTTCAGAAGATTCAGACTGAATACAAAAGGGGCAAAGAGCCCAGGAAAAAAGGGGAAATAGTTGGTTTAAGAAAATAAGGGGATAAAGAAAATGGTAATGTTTCTTATTATGTGGAAAAAACTATAAATAGTACATGTCATTTTAAACATGGTTATATGTCAGTTTCTTCTTCACTGATTCACTAAACAAACTTTAAGTAACTACTTTTTTATCAGATACTGTTCTAGGCAATGGACTTCAGTGATCATTGTAGCATGGAGTTTAAGAGACAAAGGTTTATGTAGTAAAAAATAAAGTAGAATCTGCATTGAAATAATGGAAAATCAATTTTTCAACATCTAATAACTTACCATAAGCTGCATATGGTAATGCCATTTATTGCATTTTAAAAGGAAAGAAAATGAAGCCATTTTAAAACAAAACCAAGAACATTCAGTATGACTCTTTGATACTAAGTGTTGTGTCTCCCAAAGAAAGCCTGTTTGAATGAGGTTTGAGAAAATACATACTCATATATACTGATACGGACTTAGAAATAATAGTTAATTAAAATTTGAAATCAGAGAGGTCAGTTCATTCGTGTGCTGATATGAAAAGGTATCAGATATAGAGAACTTCTCCCACATACACAAAGAATATATTTTAACAGTATTTAGATGTTGGTACTCAAATGTAAGGATAATTACTTCCTGAATCCCTTGAACAGATAAAATTATCTTCTTTAAAACATATCCTCTTCCCCATATCTTTTTTCCACCTTTCCAAAACAGTGAGATTCAAGGGTCCAAAATAGTGATGTGGAAGAATTAGAAGCAATTACTAAAGACTTGCAGCACCTCCAT